GACTGATTTATCTCTTAAGGGAGACCACTTCACGTGGTCAATTGGAATTGATATTCCATCTCCAACTTGCCATTTCAAGTTGTCTAAAATCATATCTTAAGAACATCCTTCATGATCTAGGAATAATTACTTTTTGGTTTGCAATCACCTTTCAGAATTGAATTAAGAAACCTGACTTTCAAACTTTTCCCAATAAGAGAATTATCCTCTACAGAAACAATTCTCCAGGACTATTTTGCGAGTTAAGCCTTGTTGGTTAAATGAAAAGGTCTGAGACCAACACCTAAAAATTTGGTGTTTTCAGCACCATTATTAATAAATATACCAAGATAATTTCGAAGAGAGGAAGTGAAACGAACATTAAGCATCTTGGCCCATTTATCTTTGTCTTCATGAGAAGAATTTGGACGAAAAATGACCTTAGATTTTTTGGAATTAACTTCTTGGCCAGAAAAATAGTAGTGATTCTGAGTAGTTCTTTTCACCATTTCAAAATCACTCTAGTAAAGTCTATTATTCATTATCATATTATCGACATTCATTGCACCACTCAATAACGAAACCATAAACAAATACATGGAGAAAATAGAAAACCACTTAAAATATGAAGGTTCTAACACCAACGTTTATATCTTTTACAGGTAAAATTTAAAAAAAAAATCCAAAGGGGTAATGAATTTTTTTTTTTTTTGGGAGTTTTGGGGGCACTCCCCCTTCGTCCTTACTTTCGTTTTGGCCACCCCTTCTCTGTGTATTGTATTCTCCCCATCACCACTATTATTTTCACTGGACAATTATCACTTCCTCACCTACCGACTCTTCTCTCCATTATTCTTCTCACTTATTTTCAGCACACACTTCGCTTTTTGGTTCCTATGGCGCCTTTGCCCATGTCATTACATGCAACATTATGTATGTATGTATATGCATGTATCATGATAAAATCATCCACCCTAGCCCTATATATTAATTAATGAATGCATATATTCAAAATCTCACACTTGTGTCTTCCAATAAGAGCAGCGTGCATGCATGGCATCTTGGCTTGTTGCTTGCTGTCCTTTTGGACGGTGGCGGGAGTTGGGGTAGGTGAACTCTACTCACTTTGTTAATTAATAACTAATTCGCCTTTCCCAATACTTTATGTCCACAATTAGTCATACTAGCTCACAATTCCCCACTAATTAATTTCAGGGTTACTCCCTCGGAGTTCCTCCCCATATCATACTTTATTATTCTCTCTCTGTTTCATTATATTTGTCTTTTCAAACAAAACATTGTTCGCATTCCAGAATTCCAATACAATATTATTGAATACAGTGACACTTTTTATTTTATTTTATCCGGCCTTCGAGTAATTTATTATTTATTATCATAATAATTTTTTTGAGGCATTAAACAAGAGACAGATTTATTAAAATATAAAACGGCTGGAAAAATATTCTAAATTATTTTATATTCTCATTTTGATCCACTGGCCGTGAGTTCATAGTTCACCTGACTGCCAGTGTTAATCGCGACTTAATTACGTTGCTTATGATTTCAAAAGGCCTCGTTATATGTTCCCCGATTCTAATTTTGGTCCCTATTATTTAAATCCTCCAACCACGTGTTTCTTCCCCACTTTGCTTTTTGTAATACTATACCATTTTACGATTCAAAACTTGTACCGTCAGCCAAATTCAGGTCTAAACATTTACACGTACGTACAATTCACCAAAATACCAATTAAAATAAGTGAGGGACGTCGATGACTATCAATCATGGCTATCTAAACAAAGTTCTTAACTAGTTTCTCAATCAAACAATTACTTTTCCTGCATATATACGCACACATGCTTTGATTCGTCTCCCTTTCTTTTTCTCTAAGTGTCAAGGAATTTGATCCCTTCATGCTTATAAATATATATCAACTTCATGTCGCCAAATTTAAGTCAAGCATATAAGAAATATATACTAGCTAGTAGCTCCACCATTTTCTTATTATATAAAATATAAAATTTATAGCAAATCTCTTCCATTCACAAAGAGAAAACACACAAAAATTGATCTTTATAGTTTTATTGAATTTTATTTTTAGTTCTTATAATTTTTTTTATCATTTTCTCTCCTTAAAATTTTAATAAGATTGCGTGAGATTGTTCTTCAAATCCTTAATAATGTTAAATTGTAGGAATTATAAAGATTAAAAATACTAAAAATAAATTACAAGATTAAAAGCAAAATATGATAAAACAATAGGAATCAAGAATTATTTTTTTTTTCTCATTCATAAATCAGAACTAATACCAGTCATCCTAGTAAATTGAATTCAGTGTATTTTTAATAAAAATGTCCGTGATTTGAATCTTTCTCCAAACATTTAAAAAGATAATCTTTCTTTGCAAAAAAAATCAATTTAATCTATATATCAAAATATATTAAAATAATTATGGTCATTCAATTTTTTTTTTTTACTAATGAAGATATCGATAAAAGTGTAAGGACCTGTTTGGATTCCCTCTAAAATTAATTATGGGATTCTAAATCATTGATTTTGAAAAGAGTCATCCAAACACTTTTAATTTTTTCAAACTTCATTTACTTTTTGAAATTCCTTTTTATAAAAGTTAATCAGGCACCCCTAATTTTTAAAACTCCATTTGGTGCTTGAAAATTTATTTTGTTGAAACTAAATTTTCTTTCATTTGGTAAATCAATTTTAAAATATCTTATCTAAATTTCACAAAGTTTTGGTAATCAATTTTCTGCCATTGAAATCCAAACATACCCTAAAACAATTATAGCAGCCCACATTTTGGCATCTTTAATTTCTTTCGGGTCGCATTTGTTTTATTTAAAAAAAAAAATCTTGGGAACCTCTTTTAGGTACAACGAAGAGAGAGTTAAAATAATGACATATTAGCTTTTGTGAACCACTTGCGTTAGAATCTGAAAACGACGTTGCTTGTGTTGACTTTTCACGTTGTTTTTTTGGGGGTTCTGAATTACTTTTCATGTTGCTGAGATCCACATTATATATCGGAGTGGGGCCTAACTCTTTCATTTTTGCTATTATCTTCGAAAAACTATTTTTCATTAAAGTGAATATATGATAAAGAATAAAAAGTTAAAAATATACCTGTGAGGCTGTGAATAACAAGTTTCTAGTTGAATAGTATCACCAAATAAAAAGTTAAATATTAAAGATTCTTGCAAAAATAATTAATATGTTTTTACTGTTTTATTCAATTTTAAATTAAATTTCTACAATTTATTTTATTTTAATTGAGCTCTTATAGTTTGATCAATTAAATTTTTTAATCTCTGAAAGTTAAAATCCTTAAAATTTTTCTCCCAAAAAACAAAATAAGAACTTTATGTATTTATTAAATGATTTATAATTTTAAAGTCAATTACAAAATTTTTATAACTTAAAATTTATATAATTAGGTTATCTTATAAATATTTTTATACTTGTATAATTTTCATAAAAATAAATAAAAATGCAAGAAAGGTATTAAATCAATTTTTTATTTTTTCTAAAATTATTAAATTAATCTTTCTTTAACTTCAAGAGTATTTTTGTTTTGTGAAACCTAATAATTTATTATTAATTTTAACCTTTAGAGGGTTAACATATTTAATAGATTAAACTATAAGACTTGATTAAAACAAAATAAATTACATGAATTTAATAATTCAAAATTGATCAAAATTATAAGAACTTGTGAATTAATTTTTTCAAAATTATTTTATCTACTGAATTGATAAATGAATCCATCCTTCTGAAGTAATTTGTGCTTTTTTTTTTATAAAAGAAAGCTTAGATCAGTTAAATCTCAAAGATTTATCAAAATTAAGATATGTATTTAAATTTAATGAACGCTTAGAAAAGTATTTACACAATGTCCAACAATACAATTAAGAATAAAATTTCATCACATGACCTTATACATAAATTTTGAATTAAATCCTCAGCCGAATCGCATTTGTTAGGCTGTGACGAGATTATTGATTTGGATTAGCGAGGGGCATGGACTTTGATATAATGCCAGGTAGTTTACTACCTAAAAAAAAAAAAAGTAGAGAAGGGAAAAGGAAGGGCGAGAAAAGGGGCTGAAAGAAGTGGGAAGTCAGAAAGGGCACGGCAGACGAGGGCTGCTTTTTGAAGAGATGAAGAAATGAACAAACGCAAGTGGTGTGGGTGTGAGTGAGTTGATTCCATTTCCAGCTCTCCATTATTTAATCCATCATTTCCCTCTCTCTTCTCTCTGTGCATTTAATGCATCCTGCTCTCCCCCTCCCTCTTCGCTGACACTCCTCTTCTCTTTCATTCCATCACTTTCAATTCCCCATCCCTCATTCATCTCTCCCTTGTTTTTAATTTGAAACTACTGTAGCTTTTCTTCTATTTCATCTTAACATCACAGGTTCATTGCATATTCCTCCCCTTGCAAATTCAACCAACTCTCTTTCTCTTTCTCTTTCTCTTTCTCTTTCTCCACTTCGTACTGGGCAACATCTGTACTTAGTAGCAGCAGATTGTTTTTCACTTCCTAATTTGACGCAACAGCGGGAGTGGCTTTGGGGACGCACACCACTCCATTTAGACTTTATATTAGATTGAATTTTTTCAAAAAAAAAAATAGCTTTAATTTTACAAGCAGGCGTTAATCTGTACCATTATCTATTAACTACTGTTAAATGGTGCGACGCCAGTTTTATTTTCTTCACCGTCTATCCGCGACTTTGTTTTGAATTTGGAACGTGTGCAATATTATTGTCCTCCCAATCAAATCGTAATCTTCATCAAGGTTTATGATTTATATATTTTTTAATCTTGCGTGAGAACTGAGATTTGTATACCAATCAATGTCAATAACTCAATACATACATGTAACACGGAAAATCCGGGCAACAACTCCAAATTTAAGTTAAAAAGTAATCTTAAACAAATAAACAAGGGATTAAAAAGTATTTGAGAAAAGATTAAAGTGAAGCGTTGCTATCGATATTACCAGTATTTCAGATTACGTGAGCAATGTGTGGAGGTAAATTTTCAGAAAACAAAGATTAACAAGAGGAAATAAAAGAGGAGGGGTGCATGAAGTCGTGGTCATTTCTAGGAGTGAGTAACTTGGCCGGTAGGGTCAACCACTTCACCACTCTTTTGTCATCTTCTCCATTGCCTTTGTAATCTCTCTCCTTATATCTCCCCTCTCTTTCCTTTCATGCCTCTCCTCTCTTCTCATCCTCTTCCCCTTCCTCTTCACCACCATCGGCCTCTCCCTCTCTTTCCCTTCCTGCCTTCACGCAGTCGGCACTCTTTGAGGGATGCAGAGAGAGAGAGAGAGAGAGAAAGATCAGAGAGTATTGAGTAAGTTTGAAGGTGATAGCCATGTATGCGGGAGGAAGCTTTGTGTTTTGAGGGGAATGTTGTCTGGCTCGAGGACCCTTCTTCTCGATCCGCTCTGTCTCCATCTCTCACTCATCCTCTGGGCGTATCTCACAGATTTGGAGATTGCGCGTGATCTGAGCCTCAAGTGTCGTCGGACCAGGCTTCATTCCCCCCAATTTTTGCTTCCCCGGGATTATACGCCGAGATCTCTGTCTACGCTTAGCAAGGTTTGCTTCTTTTTCGCCTCCTCCTTCTCTATTATGAATTTTCTCCACGGTTTGTTCCGTTGGGATTTTGTTTTTTTGTTAGTTATAGACGGATCTGAAACATGGGTTTCTGTTTTCCGAGAAATTGAAGTTGTAGGTTGTACGCAGATTGGTGTAATGATGAAGTATTTTGACCAATTTCTCCCATAAAGGCTATCATCATTACCTCCTTTCCGTTCGTTTTCTTCCTTTTCCTCTGATCATGTTATGATGATGTTCTCAGAAAAGAGGGAGGAAAAAGCCAAGTTAGTTTTTCGAGTGTCAGGTCAAACACTTTTTCTTCATCATTATCCCCAGATCTTGTTTCTCATCGTGTTTTCCCAGCATCCGATCTGTCCGTTTCTGCCATATTTTCTCAGATCTGGCTGCCTATTAGCTCAGTTTCGCCGTTTCCATTTTTGTATTTAAATATATTTACATATTTCTCTATCTATTTAGGGTTTCCACAACTAACACTGGGCTTCGATCTGAAGGCCTGTGTGCTAGATGAAGGAGAAAAGGGGTGACAGTTTTCGTCATTTCTCCCTTGTCAACTCTGATAATAAGGTGAAACCTATATTTGATTAGAATTTTCGATCAATTTTTGTTCCACCCGCTCTCCCACGCACCCATATATACACGCCCTTTCTAATATTGGATTCTCCTCAATTCCCTCAGTAGTAAAAAAAAGTCCTACATTTTGTTTTCGGTGAACGAAGAATCCTATATTTTGATTGGAAGGTGCAATGCAGATCTTGTAACTCGTAAATCTGCTATTTTTTGTTCATAATAGCACGGATCTTGCTAGATTGTTTGGATTAAATTAATATATCTTCATCTTAGATATCCGTACACTGAGCATGTAAATGCAGTGTGAAATTGAGGTTTGCAAGTACATGCCATTGCTGCGTTAATCAAAGGGTGATGTTATGAAAAGTCCAGCTCCCCAGACATCCAGAAGCATGAGCCTGTTCTATTTTATAGTAGACGACCTTCTATGAGATTATTTAAATGGGTAATAATGCCCAGCCTCTCCAGATTCTACAGAATTATGCCTCTAGAGCATGTTTGGAGTGAGAAAAATGGAGAATGAAAGACACTGCTACATTCTTCAGTCCAAACATAGCTTTAAGCGATTACCCTTTCTGCAGGTTGAAAGAGTATATGAGAAACTATCAGAGGTGGTACCTACTAATTAAAGCTTGTTATTTTCTGCTATAATGGTGTGCATCTATGGGAATTGAATCAATGATTAATGTAATTATAAGGGGTCGCCTTTTATTAATTTCTTTATTGCTTCATCTACCCGAGAACTCAGGGAATTGGAAGAGTGACTGATAGGGGTTGGCCGCTCGCATGTGCAGCAGCAGAATGATAGGCAAAGGAAGAGTCAGCAGCTAGGTAGAGGCATGTAGGGGAACACAAGAGGAATGATATTTACAGTGTTCACTCTCTCAACCGGCTCATATCAGATCACTATTCTGGGGGAAAAAAAAAAATCTATGCGCTCTTCTGTATTCTCTCTCCGGATACGAGACACGTGATTATGTGAGAATAGATGAAGGGATCCAATTTGACTCACTCACCACTTCTTTTTTCTTTTGTTGTTTTCCCCTTTGTTTTCTTCATTGATTTCACGGAACCTTATTCCCAGGTCCACTTGAATGTGGTTTCAGTTCGCAAGCTTTAAAAGCAAGTCATGTTGGCTTTTGTGCGCATCGATTAACAATAAAAGAGGGTAATATTTCCATCGTGAACCCTGAAGTTGATGACCTCGTGAAGACTGAAGAGACAGAAAGCTGAGTGCATAGCTGTGTGAAAACGAAAAGCTAGGAAACAGAATGTCTCTCTCTTTCCTCATCTTTGTTTTTGGTGTAAAGCCTATTCTAATTTTGACTTGGTGATTGATTCCCTGAAAAGCTCAGACCTTCATTCAATTTACTCTATCCGTTTTCACCGTTTCCATTTACCCTGACGTTTGGATGCTCGGCGATGAAATTAATATCGTCATCAATATCAATATCATGAAGTAATGATACTTGATGATTCTATGAAATGATTGACCTTCATTTAAAAAAAAAAAAAATCAATTCCACCAAAATTGCAAGGCCATGGGTGATGGGTGGGCCACCTCCTCGATCAAAGTCCGCTTTGGCGTTTTATGTTGAAGGTAGACGACTTTAAAGTGGCTGACACCATTTCTCCCCCCCCCTTCCTTCTCTAGTCCCAAGTAAGAATGTGAATAAATGGATGAAAAAAATACCGTGTTACATTGTCTATCTTTGCTGATGTGTCGATCTAAACGAAAGATATTACGAAACCCATTTTGAGACTTGATTCCCACATAAAGCAGCGAGTATTCAAATTTGTCTCCTGAACCCACTTTAGCATGTTGTGAAAATGAGAATAGTGATGTCTCAAAAAGAAGAGGCTTTTTGGGAAATTGGATCTTTTTGACCTTTCACGATTCATAAAAGTTGATCCAACCAACCCTGCTGCGTTTCACGATACGTGTTCTGGAATTTTGAAGAATGGGGTCATGACTCATGAATCATGCCATGACAGTTCAATGCCCACAACACCCCCTTTATGGTCTCATTTGAGCCTGACATTTCCACAAAAATAATTCAAGACGGAATACTTCCTCCGCCATTTTTCAAAAACTTATTTTATTTTTAAATATAAAGGGTCATAATAATATTTTTAAATAATTAGATAATTTTATTCTTATCTTGAAAAGTATAATAGATAATTAATGTATGTTTTCTACCACCATCATGATATTAATTATGATACTATTAGGGATAAAATTAAAAAATTATTGTATTTTTATGTGAGTTTAATTAAATAACAAACCTTTATTGGTATGTGAGATTTAGTTAAAAATACCTTATATATAGGGACAAAGGAGTATGTTACAATTTGCTCCATATGACTTTCCCTATATTTTAAAATCAAATTTTAAATATATTGAAATCATAACTTATTCTCCCTTCATTAAAAAATATAAGATATTTTTAACCAAATTTTACCCTTAATAAAGTAGTTACATACCTTTAAACTAATTATATCTATTCATATTTACCTCCATTAAACACCCTACAGTAAGTATAAAGTCATTCATCAATAGAGACACTTTTAAAAAAAATTAATGATTATGCCTCAAAAAATTAAAAATATCTTACATTTTTTAATATCTGACTCTCTAAAAAATGCCTTACATTTTTTAATGGAAAGAGTATATAAAAATTTACTCCCTCAATTCCATGTTATAAAACATTTTTGAGGTGATTTGCTTACTGATGTTCCAAAATAGAAGGCATTTAAAAAAATCATTAATAATGATTATTCCAATGTTATCCCTCATTATTTTACAGTTCACACCTTAAATAAGTCTTATTTAAAGTTTATAAAAAGTTAGGGTTGTAAATTATATTTAAAGAACTTCATTTATATGTATAGAGAGAGTATAAATTAAGCATGCTTCTACGCTTGGATTTTATGACTTTAACACTCCCTTTTACTTAAAGCAGAAAGGATAAACTTCCTTGAAGTGTTGTTTGAATTGCATAAACAAATATAAAAAATGGCACCTCCAAGCACTTGTTAAGATAACAAGAGTTTTTATCACTTACTTCAATGTAAATTGATGGGTTATAGTAATATACCTCCTTTGTTGTTAAATATAAGAGAAATTATTATATGCTTTCTTTTTTTTATTATAAGAAAAATTATAAATTTCAAGAAGTATTAATATTTTTGGTAAAAAAAAGTATTAATTACATATTTCCTAAATTATCCCTCATGAATGGATAGTATTATTAAATTAAAGAAAAAAGAAGCATCAATTTCAAGTACATATTAGTCCAAATATTATTTCAATTTCAGATATAACTGTTAAAATGAACTAACTTTCTTAAAGTGAACGAAAAATGTTGAGAAAGAGCATTGAGTGAGCAAACGAGCTTCACCTTTAATTTTCATCTTGGAGATGCCTTTATTTTTTTTTCTTTTTGCAGAAAGTAACTTCATTTATTATAAAAAGAACTTTATATAAAATTCTAAATTGAGAGAAACAAAAAGACATATTTAACCGAGGAGTAGAAAAACTTGGAGAAGTGTTTTGCCCTATGCATGTGGACAGTGAAGAGAGGAGGTCGTAGTGTTTGCATGCAAAGGGGTAGGTGTACCACATTGTGAGTCTGAACTCTGAAGTGACAATAGGTGACCCATAAAGTCAAATAAATATTGGTAGGGTACAGTTTGTGGAGTGTTAATTAGACCTTTTGACATATGCTTGTGGAATTCTTATCCCCGCATCTTTGGTTCACCTTTTTCTCTTAATTTCTGTTCTCACTCTTTAGGCTATAACCACCCCCTCAACTATTATTATTCACACTCTTCGATGCATGCCCTCTTTTCTTCGGCTTTTATCATATCTTCCCAACAAGCTCCCTTTCAATCATTTTATACAACTTAAGCAATGAATAAATTAGTGTCTCTATTTTTAAGAGATTGTTTACTGTTTGCTGGTCCTGTTTTATTGTTAGTTGGTTGTTTTGTTTCTGTTGTTCTTTTGTTATTTTGACTGTTTTTTCTGTATCTGTTGTTTTTTCTCCTTTCTTTGTGAGTTCGGTCTGTTAGCTTATAGTTGTAAAGGTTTTGAGTGTTTTTGGGCTTGTTTGGAAACATGATCTGCAAACAACTTTCTATTCTTCAAAATAGGAAAACAACAAAATTTATTTGGTAATGTGTTTTTAAAAAATATTTTGGAGAACAAAAAATAAAATATTATTTTCAAAAATAGAAAAATAAAAATAACTTTTAAAGTTTTAGGTGTTTTGAGATTATTGTTTTAAAAATAAGGAAGAATAAAAAAAATACCTATTTTCATTATTTTTTTATTTTCAAAAAATATTCTACAAAACATTAGTATTCAAAATAATAAAATAAAAATAGTTTCAAATAGTCCCTTTGTTTTTTCGTTTTTTTGTTTTGGCTTTGACTATTAGTGCGTGTATCAATTTTTTTATATTAAAAAAATAACTTGTTTCTTTGGCCTAAAAAAAACCAATCAATAAATTACAAATGTTTGTTATATTGATTTAATAGGAAGTCTTAAAAATAAATTTCATTGTCTATATGTAGTTTTTTTTTATAGATTTAAATATATCTTTGGATTTATGGACTATTGACATTGATATGCTATTTATTTTTGGTAATTACCACATCGGTCAAGGAAAGTATCCCATGCATCAATTGATTGCAAGAGTAGTGTAGAAAAAGGTTGGAATAAATGTAAATAATAATATATAAAAGATTCGTGCGTCTTGATTTAATGGAAAGCAAGACACATCTCATCTTCATTTTATGATTTGAGCTGACCTCAATCTACTGGGCAACAATTTGGAGCAGCCCAGATCCAGGGCCTATTCTAAGATGAGGCCGAATTAAATAAGCCTGGGCCCTCGTTCAACCTCATCTCTATAGCCACTGCAAACCCAGCAGCTTTGCTATCCACTGCCTGCAAACAAACAACCAAACGTTTGAAATATTCAAGACATTAAATACTCCCTCACCCCAAAATGTATAAATATATAGTCATCGTCTAGGAAGCCGACAAGAAGCTTAATAAATGTGAAGAATGCATCCCAGTTTGTCGATTCAAGCACACAGTTAAATAACAAAAATCTTTGGGTCTTCGTTCGTGCCAGTGGGTGTGACGTTTTCGACGGCCACATCTAAACTGCCATTTGATTTCTTGCAGTGGAAGCTTGTCCAGGATGCAGCCAATTACAAAAAAGCCTTCTTCCTAGTTTCTGAACCAAACTTGGTCTTCTTCTTCTTCAAATTCTGAGGGCGATGAAGGTGGGGAGAGAAGAAGAACAAGAGAGAGTGGTGGTGCCTGTGACTTACTTGATCAGCAAGGAGCCATAGCTATTCCTTGCCACTGAAAGCGCTTCAACCACGTTCAACGCAGCCTGAGGGGCTTAGCCTGTGACCCACCTTACCGGATAAAGATCAAAGTGGAGGAGAGCGAAAAGTCCAGAGATCAATTGACTAACCCAGCCTTATCTGTTCTTCTGGACTTGATAAGATTAAGCCCAAAAAACTGACCCCTTTTTGACAGAATCTGTTCACTTCTCCATTTTTTTTGCTGACAGCCTTGAATTCTTCCTAATCAAAAGCATGTTTGGACATACCAAGGAATTTAAGAAAATTAATTTCGATATCACGAAGGCCTTCAAAGATACTCACTCCTACTTCAATTGCTTCAAACTGTATGTGACTTCGGAGTTCTTATTTTATTTCAAGAGCATTGTCACTTTGAAATAAAACCAACAAGATCTTCCTAGTCAGAAAATTAAATTAGTTATGAGTAAGCTATTTTATATTTTTCTTAATTAATTCGCATCCATAAGTTTAAATAATAATTATTTAGAAATAACGAGAGTAATAAGTTATAACAATGTGACCCAAGGTGAAACAGTAAAGGATTGTTTATCTCCACTCTTGATATTGACTTATTTCTCCTCTCTCTGCCTTGAGCCTTCACAATGAATGTCCTGTTGTTTCATTCTCCAACTTGTCTCTATTTAGCAGCTTCTTGCAATAAAGTGTGATCTATGGATGCTTTTTACTCTTTATTTTTTTCAACCATTAATGATTATTATTATATAAAGACAATCGCCTGCTATATGGCGAAGATGATGATATTCGTCACTCTCTCTAGTTAACATTCATTGACTACTCCTGTTGAGACCTGTGTGGTTGTGCAAAATGTATCTCACCAATACCCTCCTAAGTACTATGAATTGGTCAAATGTTAAATGAGTTCATTTACTTTAGGCCAAGTGAAGCTCACAGGCTCTTTATTTCCTTTAATCCTTCAAGTGCTTTTAATCCTTCAAATAATTAAATCTCTCCACTATAATATCGTGAATCAGTCGAACGACTCTCATGAATGTTATTGTCAATTTTGGCTCCAGAAGAGATGTCTATCCATTCTTTATTTGAATTGGACAAGAAAAGAAAATCTAGCAAAAGCAATAGAATGGAGCCCGGAAACAATATTTTATAAGCATTGTAATTAAATCTGTATTCCTTTCTTGAAAAAGTGATGCTACTTGTGCTCTCCACATTGGATGGTTTTCCAACCTTTTGCAATCTCAGTTTTTGAGCACTTCCCACATCTGTTTGTCTGCTAGGATGGGTTGGCCACATTATTATTTGACCTAAGTCTATCTATACCAATATCTATAATTAATATACACACACAAATTCTATAACAATTCGTATTATTTATAGGATATAAATATTATAATCAACTTTTAAATTAAGAATATGTCTATTATATGCGTGATAAA